CGGTGCGGGCTGGAGCCCGGGAGCGGTGCGGGCAGCCGTGCCCACCGGCCTCGCACCCCCTGCTTTGCCCCGCTTAGGCTGCAGTGTAGCAGCTCTGCCTGCTCCTCTTCTCGTGCGCGCTTTCATGTCTTTAATTCTCTCTAAATGCCCACTAGAAAACGTTTGCATGTAAAGGGAGTTTCCTCTCTCTGTATTCCTTAATCGTGCCCGTCTCAAAAGCTTGCAATGCTAATTATTCAATGCAAGGCGCTTTTTTTTGCCATTCTTTGTTTCACACCCACAGAACGGGCTTCTATCTACCTTCTTTACATGTTTTTCTTGATTTTCTGAACTTTTGACTGCTCTGGGTTTTGTAAAGCACGTTCTTACTTTTATTTACCAAGGGCACCCCTTTCCTGTTTACAGCTTTAGGGTGATCTCTTGATTATATACCCATCAGTGAATTCACCACTGTTTGAGATGGCATCAGTAAATTGCATAACTGCCCTCTTCCAAAGCGCAGTCGGGCTTTATTAACACAGGTCTCCTGTCAGGTAGCTTCCGTGCGGGCTTTCATGCATGTGCAGTTAAATCAAATCAAGCGCTTTCCCTTTCTAAATCTCCGCTGTTGTATTATAAGGTGTGTTTCCTACTGAGGGAAAAGATACACTAGAACTTCTTGCTGGGGAGCTCTGAGGTCTTTCGCCTCGGAAGAAGTCCAGTAGTGCAGCCCTTGCTGACCTCAGTGTACCTGTGCAGCTCTGCAGGGCAGAACTTTTTTGTCTGTGTTAGCTTTACCCACTGAATGCGCTTAACCATCTTTTAAATGTATTTTAGAAGCTGAGTGAAACCGATTCCTGTGTGAATACATTTGTGACTCTGACATACAATTAAACGAGCAGATTATCCTAAACCGTTTATCATTTGCTGCGTGTTCGCCTGCCTTCTTTTAACTCTGGGCGTTGTGCCTCTTGTCCGCAGGGCCGACGTTTGTGAGGCTGTGCAGCAGAGCCAGCCGGGCTGCGGGGCCAGGGAGCTGCGGGGCAGCCACCGGGTTTGCGCTCAGCGTCACCGTCCGGTGGCCGCTGGGGAAGCGGCGCCCAGCTGGGCACCATGAGCTCCGGCACCACCGCCCCGCTGAAGGTCGTCAGCAACCTCGCCAACACTGATGTCAACTATGTCATCAAAGAGCACTATAATTACACGGGAAAGCTCAATGAGAATGCGGACAGTGGGATAAAAGTGACGTCGGTGGTTTTTATCATCATTTGCTGCTTTATAATCTTAGAGAACATTTTTGTCTTGCTAACCATCTGGAAAACCAAGAAGTTCCACAGACCCATGTACTATTTCATTGGGAACTTGGCTCTTTCAGACTTGCTGGCTGGTGTGGCTTACACTGCCAACCTCCTGCTATCTGGACACAAAACCTATAGCCTTACCCCCTCCCAGTGGTTTGTACGAGAAGGCAGCATGTTTGTTGCCTTGTCAGCTTCTGTGTTCAGCTTGTTGGCCATTGCCATTGAGAGATACATCACCATGTTGAAGATGAAACTCCACAATGGCAGCAACAGCTTCCGCTCCTTCTTGCTGATCAGTGCTTGCTGGGTTATCTCCGTGATACTCGGGGGACTCCCGATTATAGGCTGGAACTGCATCAGCCTCTTGTCCAACTGCTCCACCGTGCTGCCTCTCTACCACAAGCACTATATTCTCTTTTGCACCACTGTTTTCACCGGCCTTTTGCTCTCCATCGTGGTCCTCTATTGCAGGATCTACTCCATGGTGAGGACTAGGAGCCGCAGGCTGACATTTCGGAAAAACATTACCAAAGCTACGAGGAGCTCAGAAAAGTCACTAGCCTTGCTCAAGACGGTGATCATAGTCCTGAGTGCCTTCATCGCCTGCTGGGCTCCCTTGTTCATCCTGCTTTTACTGGATGTGGGGTGTAAAGTGAAGACCTGCCCGATCCTCTATAAAGCAGAGTATTTCTTAGTACTGGCCGTGCTCAATTCAGCCACGAACCCTATCATCTACACCTTGACAAACAAAGAGATGCGGCGGGCTTTCATCAAGATTCTGTGCTGCTGCAAATGTCCCCCAGCAGACTCTGGGACTAAATTCAAGAGGCCGATCATCGGAGGGATGGAGTTCAGCCGGAGTAAGTCTGACAACTCCTCCCACCCACAGAAGGAGGAAGGCGACCGTCCTGAAACTATCATGTCTTCGGGCAATGTTACCTCATCTTCTTAGGAGTAACCGTGGGGGTGTGTTTCAGAGCCTTCCCCTGCAATCGGGGAGCTGAGACGCCTCCTGCTCACGGCGGCAGCGTTGGGCTGAGTGAGCAAGTAGCATTAGTTCTAACGAGGCAAACGGTGCACTTGCGAGGCTGGAGTTCAAGAAATGGGACAGACTGTTCTGGCTTGAAAATCTTTTTTCCCTGGAGCATGTTTTGTCTTTGCACTGAGGCAGCTCAGGATTGTCAGGCGCATTCATATCCTGAAATCTCCTTAGTAACTCTGAAAGACTGATGCCTTGGTGAAATGATGCCTGGTGTGTGTGAGAGAAAGAGAGAGGGGGAGGAGGGAGAGGCAGAATGAATCTTTTTTTTTTTTTTTTTTTTTTTTCCCATGTGAGAAGAATGTGAAGTTATTTCTCCTTTACTTGCAGCAAACCACTGACACAAAGATCTTTCTGTACTGAATTTGGTGGTGGCTCTGGTATAGCTGGTCAGAACTGTTTGTTTAGCACAAAACAAGGACAGAGATCACACAAAATAGAGCTCAGACCATGTACAACCATAACTGGGCATCACTTTCCAGAGTTTTTAGTTAAGTCATAAGGTTTTATTTGCAGAGTCTGAGGCTGTTGGGGTCTTACTTAGCAAGATCATAGCCACGAATTTTTGCTCTCGGTCCGTATTACATTTGAGGACGGTGAGCCGGACTCTGCAGTTATTGTCACCTGCACAATTCCATTGGCTGCGTCAGATTTTGTGGAGTAGCTCTGAGCAGCATTTGGCCCCATACGTTGATTGCCTTGTTATTCTATAGCATTAAATAAACCGCGTTATCATGACAAATGCAAGGTAGAACTAAAGGTCATTTCTTTTTAAGATGACGGAAAGTAAATCCAATAGTCTGAGATACTGTTGACAATGGCGGGATTTTTGCCTAAGTGAAGAAGAGTGACAAACTGAAGGGGCATTTCAGTGTCAGGTCATAGTCCTCCCAAAGGTAAAGGTCGTTGGGAAAATCTGAAGAGAGTACCTTGATTTTCAGACAAATAAAAGTTGAAGTGAAATGACTATAGCTAAATGCACTTCCATAACAAAATGCAATACATTTTGGCACATTTTATTAATGTTTATAATTACAGCGAAGATGTCTGTATTTTATCAGTTCATGGAAGGAGTACCTGTCGTTAAATTGAATGTATTTGTTTTACAGCATCATTTTTACTCCTCTATTTTTCTAACCTGTGCTAATGGGGTTGAATGTGTACAATGTAAATACGTTAATAAGATGCAGGAGTCTTCATGCGCCTAGAGTATTACTATAACAAAAGTGGTATATCTGGGATAGCTGAGAGCAATCGACTGATTTACAGTTATTGGCAATTCCTAGAAGTGGTATTTTGTAAAGAAAATGTATTGCCTTTGTAGTAAAATTTCCAGTGCAATTAAACTGTTGGGGTTTTTTCTGGTTTAAAAAATAGTATTTAAAATGTTTCTGACTTTTATTGTTCAATTTGCACATAGCTTTATCGACTTCTAAACATTAATAAACTGATTTTTTTAAAGATCCTGTTATCAGATTACTAGTAGTTTTGTACTGTTGCGAAGGTTTCATGCCAGGTGTGGTTTCTTGGTGACGGAAGTCCATGAAGTAATTCCTTGATTTCAGTACATGCTGGGATTAAGCCAGTTCTGTGGGGACATGAGATGCATAAAGCCACTTATGGGGTCATGTAAAATACAAAATGAATGCTAGAATATATTTTTTCATCAGCACGTGCTGTATCAATGAAATGCCATTAAAAGAACCTCTACAGTAGCGCTTGTTCTCCAATGGCTACCGAAGAGAGGTGCCTGACAGTTTTACCATGACTGCCTAGAGCAGAGTAAGTGAAATAATTCACTTGTATCACTAACATAATTCCTAAGTTTAATTCTTAGCTGACTGCAAACATCAAGGAAGTTTCTAAAACGCAGAATGGTGGCCTCAGCTACGTAACCGCTGCAGCTCCGTCGGGTCCACCATGGCAGCATAGCTGAATAGGTCCCGCTTCTTCCAAAGGCTTGGCTTCCATTTCCTCTCTTGCGGCCATTCCCTCTCAGTACTACTTTTAAGTTCCGTGGAGCTCGTACAGGATGCAGTTGGAGCGTGAAGATAAACCTCACCTTCTCGTACTGTATGTCATCGTTGTGCGAGGCGTACTGTGGGAAACGAGAGCCGACTCACTGAGGAAGGCTCTGGGTCATAACCTCACTTCCTGAAGGAAATTCCAAAAATGCCCTGAAGACAAAAGAGTGGAAACAGGCTGGAAATTCTCTCCATCTGTCTGCCTGTACGGAAGGAATGATTTCATGTGTGCTCACTTCCTAGGCTTTTAATTAGTGACCTGAGCAGGGCTGGAAAAAATGTCCAATCTGTATTTGCGCACCAGATAAAGTCTCTTTTGGCTCAGGCCTTCATTTGGGCAGGGATGGTTTATGCTGGGTGCTGACAGTCAGGAGGGAAAGCGCTGCTTTGTCCCAGGGATAAAGTCACTTCTGTGCAGAGCACCAAGTGTATATAAACCATGAAAGTCCAAGTTAAGCCCTTGATGTGCTACTGGTGAGTAAATAAAGGCAATGTACGGGGACCTCCGAATTTGTAGGGCTGTTTTCATCCAAAGGACAAGGGCCCTTCCACTCCTGAAGCCTTAGGGGCATTAAGGTTGTTTGTCCCACATGGGTCTGAGACCCCGTGACAAAGGATGAGCTATGTCACAGCATGGCTGTGTCACTGGCCTCTCGTGACGCCTTTCTGCACTCGGAGCTGATAGCCCACAGGTGAGTCACTTCCCTTCGCTTTGCCCGTGTTTCTGTACCCCTCGCTTATCTATCCCATCTAACTGCCTTGCGGGCCTTTGCGGGAAATGACTGTTTCCCCTGTGGAGGTGACCGTGTGGTGGGAGCCCGGCTTTGGTAGGGAACTCAAAGCCCGACGTAATTCACGCAACAGCAGAAATGCAAACGCCAGAGCGTGGCACTGGGCCATGGGAAGCATTTCCTACGCTCTTCATCATGACGACTGAAATCTGTTTCCTCCATAGACAGGCCACATCTATGCATGTAGACAAGATTCAGGCAGGGAACAATAACTGTAATAAAATAATAACAATAATAAAAGTAAGGGTTCCTGCTTGAAAAAAAATGAGAGACAGGCCGTTTGTACTGCTCTTCGCTTCCTATGGGGGAACTCTGCAGCTCCTTGGCCACGGACATGTGTTACCAGCAGGTTTTGAAGGGTGCAAGGCAGAAAGCACCCTTCCCGGCCCCGGGCTGCCTTCTGGGTGCACCCAGGGGGCGGGCGGCTTTGTCCTGTGTTTGGCCGTGTGACAAATGGGCAGAGAAAATGAACCGAGAACTGAAAAGGTGCATTATACCAAATGTCTAAGTGAAATAAAATAGCCTGAATTATCCAGAGTAACCTGGCCCTTTGATGTATATTCTATTCCCTAGCTGCTCTTCCAGTGTAAGGAGTAGAACAGGGATGGAAACCGATCACACAATCTGTCTGTTGCTCCCCTGGCAACTCCCTGACTGTGTGAGACCCAGGTATAGCTGGATGTATATTGGGCAACAGAGGGGCTGCAGCCAGAAGGCCATAAAGACA